TTATAACACCAATGGATCGAGCCATTTTCAGTTTTACATGACTCACGTGATCAGACCAGCTCAAGTCATTGCGGAAGTGTACGCCCAGAAACTTGCAGCTACTGGTACATGTTATTTCTGAATTACCAAAATAGAGTTTTGGGCTGTGGTGTATTGCTTTGTTTTTAGCACGGAATAAAATAAAATTCGTTTTTTTTTTCACGTTTAACCTCAGCTGATTTACCCTCAGCCATCCCTCTAATTCTTCAAGCCAACTATTCGCTCTCTGTTCAAGTTCTTTTAGGTTGGGACCAGAAAAGAAGATGTTAGTGTCATCGGCATATAGGATAATTTTCGAAGATGAAGGAATGTTTACAATATCATATATGTACAAAGTAAATAGAAGGGGTCCTAATATTGATCCCTGAGGTACTCCATATTTTATTGTTCCGTTGTTAGAGCGAGTGTCGTTATGTAGCTTTGTGTATTGTTGACGTGCAGTCAGGTAGCTTTTCATAAGGCTTCTTGCAATGCCACGAATTCCATAAATTTCTAGTTTTGCTAAGAGAATGTCATGTTGAACCGAATCAAACGCTTTACTGAAGTCGAGAAATAGTCCGATAGTAAAGTGTTTCATTTCAATGTTTCGAATTAAGACATTTTTTATATAAAGCAATGCGGTTTCAGTCGATTTCCCAGGTTGAAAACCGTATTGACGATCACTTATCACATTATTTGCGGAAAAGAAGCCAAAGAAACGTGTATAAATTATTTTTTCAGCAACCTTAGAAAAAAATGGCAGAACAGAAATTGGCCGGTAATTACCGAATTCTGTTTTATTTCCACCTTTAAAGACAACAGTAACACGTGCTATCTTTAATCTATCTGGGAACATGCCAGTAGCCAACATATGATTGAATATATAGGTCAGTGGTTCTATAAGGCAACTAATGGAATTCTTAATTGGCAATGGTGAGATACCATCATCACCAGGAGCACAAGTATTTTTTAGAGAATTAATAATGGTTGTGATTTCTGCTTTTGTTGTTGGCGTCAGAAATATCGAGTCATAGTTGGGAATCTGAATGCATGACGTAAGAGAGGTATTATTAGGCAAGGGAATTGAGCCGGCATATTTACCAGCTTCCAGGAAGTGTTCATTGAATTTTTCGGCTAATGCAACACCGTCATAGATAATACCCTTTACCAGCATTTCGACGGGTGTTTTGTTAGCTTTGCTGCCGATGACAGTTTTAATTTTTTTTTTAATTATGGCGGGGGCTGCTACGCCTAGCGGGAATGGCTGTATACGAGGGCATGGAAGAGGGCTGTGCAGCATGTTCTGACATATGTGCAACTCCAGGCCAACTTCATTATGAAACTTCGTCATTCACAATGAGCTTGGTCTACAGTTATGTACAAAATCAATCAAGAATGAGTGCAATGCCATGGCTTAATCGTTCATGTAGTTTAAAAGGCGACAAAGCAGCACGATTCGCGAGCAGCGCCTCTTCTCTATATGATGCATTGAACTGCTTCTGTCCTCAAATGCCGATTTGTGTTTTTCATTAATAAATGTGGTAAGTGGGAAAGTTATGAACGCTGAACAACTTATTCACAAGAACGAAAGAGACAGGACGGGCGATTGTGAACGTCTTGTGAGGGAATTGTCGTGCTCTGAAAACGTCTAGTAGCTATGCACCATATCGCCAAATTTTGCTCTGTTAAATGTAGCATCTACAGAGACTATCTGATTTTGTCATGTCCTTCGCTACATATTAAACAGCAGTGTTGTTATTTAGGGTACCTTGAAAGTTGTAGCGGCCAGGTTTCACGAAGGAATGAGGTAGAAACGCACCGTTTATGCCGTATGTGACGCTTTATCACTCGCAAAAACAAATTTCTTCTAGCTTCAATGTGATCAAAAAAATATGTTACGTCTCGGCAATAAGAACGGTGTTTAAACTTTAATGACTTGTTCGAATTCTTGAGCCACCGTATGAGATATTCCCTAATTTCCCAACACGTCTGCAGTTCAGTCAAACCTACACAACGAAGCAACGCCCGTGTTTTTGTAGTTTTCGTTTTTTTCAGACACCTTTCCATTTATAGTCAGCTTTGAAGTGCTGAAGCACTTTCGATGGTCCGTCACCTGTGATTATGTTCATGCAGTTCACACTGCAAAAAGCTTGGTGGCACAGTCGTTTCGCAGAGTCAAGTTTCTCGTCCCTGTTTTCGTGCTCTTTATGTATACTAAGGAATGCAGGAAGCGTACAAAACAAGGCAAAGAGCTTGACAGCGCACCATTGGGACTGGTATCCATGGTAGTCGAACTGCTCGCTGTGTTATGCCATTGCGCTCTGTACGCTGTTGCGTTGACGGAGGTCATTCTTGTATTCCTTCATGGAAGTTCGCGGTTTCTTCAACGTACGAAGCAGGGGTCGGCGCATGGAATTTGGCACACTATGTCCTGTGCTTTTTCCGCATGTGCATGGTCTCTGGGCCGACGGATGAAACTTCCGGTGGTTTCGATGGACATTTCGTCTCGATTGGACATTAAGACTCGTTGGACATTCAGTCTCGCCCGTCACGTGACCCATTGGACATTCCGTCTCGTTGGAGGCTCTGAATCGCTGGAGGGGGACGATGGCAGAGCGGTGAGCATGGCTGAAAATTGGGTGCAGGTATGCAAGTTTAGTTGGTGTCACTGCGTGTGCCTCCAATGTAACTACATAATTAGCCAGCGATATACTGTGATCACGACAAGGCACGAGCGGGGTCCTCGAGAGACCACCCGGGGTGTCCTTGCAGTGTACATAGGCAGACGACAAAAGAAAAGGCACTCCTAAAGGCAGCCGGCAGACCAAAATCGGTGTCGTGTCTAGTGTAAACGCGTTTTAAGGGTTACAAATATCGCTGCGTCGCCATGTTTCATTTGTCGACGACAGAGACGTCAGCTGCACAGTTTGAGCACAGAACAGCTAGTTGACGGTATACCGTGAGCTGGGAAACCGAAATTGCGCTTTTTTTACCTACTAAGTGAGCCCAGGCGATAAAACGAGTCGAGATAGTATACCTAATAGACGGCCAGGATTCTGAATACACACGCGGTTTAAAAAAATTTAGTAAACGTTTCACGACCCTTTTAACCATCTAATTAACCTGCAATCAAACAACAATATTTGCATATAAATAATCGAATATTAGGCCCCAAAACATATGCAAGTTTTTCGTTTTGTTGCATTCATCTAGGAAAAAAAAACCACTTAATTGACATTGGTTCTGGAACTCGGCACGTCGAACGATCCTCGAACATTGCATGTGTCTCCAGCAAAGTGATCCTCTGCAACAATACCCAGCAGAGTGAAGTTAAATAGCTCCTAGCTGTCCACCCAAGAAGCCTCAATGAATGCGCACATTGGGCTTCAAGTCAATCAGAGAAACACGTTATGTGACGCACCTTGCGCACACCGCCGCTGAAGTGGTTATATGCAACTCCCGAAAAACCTAGAGTTGCTGACTATATGCTATAAGCTTTAGGCAGCGTCGTGTAGGAGCTCTAGAGAAGGCGTGTTTCTGTTGACAACAAGTGGTGGCGCAGAGGTACGCTGCTCCACATAGCACCACCTAGCTGTAGGTCGCGTTCGCCTGTTACAGACGAACACGGCGCGCGGCCTTCGTGACCTTACCATGCGTATAGTAAACCTAGCTTCTTAAACATTTAATTCTTAGCTGTGACCTGCCGACGAAACATGCCATGAGTACAAACACGGCTTGAGAGCAACAGATTAAAGCCCGAAAATCTGATTGATACCATACGATCTGCTCCCGAAGACAAACTAGCAAACCGCGAGCACCCATAATACAGAGCTTTAAAATTAAGTTCGTAGCATTTGCTTCACTTAGGTACGTAGGGCATTGTCAAAATACAACATGCGTACCCAACAGGTAAAGATATGACACATGCGCAGTGGCAACAAACACATAGCTGGTTCTTTGCTCTTAAGACTGGCTAATTTCAAACAGACATTTCGTGGGCCCTTGAATCACGTTTACACCAATAAATGATTTGTCCTCCGGTAATGAAAGTTTTCAGGGAATGTACTGTTCTGATTGTTACAAAATTACCAGAGGCGAAATCATTTATTAGTCTAAACGCATTCCTTCATGTCTGAAAGTGATTCAAGGGTCCACAAAATGGCAAGGAACCAGTTATGTGTTCGTTGCCACTGCGCTTCCGTCATACATTGGAGCGAGCCGCCAAAACGTTTGTGGAGTAGTTCTTAAGAAAGTTATTTGAAGTTATCCAGGTCACTACTTCAACGGCAGTAGCGAAAATGACAATGATATCAGCAGTTGAGAAAGCACACTGCAAAGTATGAAATTCAAACAGTTGGCAAAGCATTTTTTTTAATAAAGCGAAACCGAAACCAGTGTTACTGCAGCGTCTGACGGCGTCCGTTCGCGCAAGCTCATTTTAGAGACACGTTAGCAGCGGCCTCTACAAGACCGTTCGTTTATTCAGAGAAGTCATAAACAATCTTTGCCTGTAGCCGCGTTCCTCTCGGCCACCACCTCAACAGGTGACTTTCTCCACAAGCAGCGTCTGTTTTACGACAAATGGAAACTCGGATATCGTCGAGAACATGTTAGAATCGCCATCGACGGGGACTCCGTATTGGCCCGAAACGCGAGGGAGTCGGTGGTTCGTGAAGTCGCGGACTTGTTGACCACAACGACGAGCCATGTCTTCGTCATCGGACCGACGGGAAGATCGCCGAAACTGCCGACTCGAGCGGAGTGTTTTAGGCCTACCGCTGTTGCTGTGAAATCGAAGGGATATCCTCCTCGTTTGCCGAACGCCTGCACCACCACGCAAGTAGCGGCACGGAGCTCCTTGCGGCGCTTCGTGTCCTTACGGAAGGGACAGCCCGTGGTTTCGCCGTTTGATTGCTTCAACACCATCGCGCGGTCCGCGGCTCCCTCGGTGGGGCCCGGTGAATCTACCGACGGATTCCCCCATGAACCGAGCGCTCGTCATGCCTGCCAAAGTGTCCCGCAAAGTTGCCACCATGATCATCCGAAGCCGAAAGTCCATCATGAAGGACGGCTTCATCGTAAGTCTTATCGTTCACATCGCCGCTCATATAAAAGAGAGCGGTCGGTCGCTTTCGCATTCCATTCCCGAATGTATGCGCGCTATGTCTTAGGCATTTAAGTCGACGTAACGCTACGCCACTCCCAGTTGTTCCAGCGACCCGCGCAACGCTGTGGCAATCTCTGCTTTTTCGTTGAAATTACTGCGACACCGACCCTGATCGCGATGGAGGATCGAAATTCAACTAGTCCGACTGGTCGACTGAGGTAACAGGTTGATCGTTGAGCAATCGTGAACTGCGATTGTGATAGAAGATAGGAAGTCCATACGGTCATTAAAAAGTCGTGTAGCAACAGACGACCCGCATTGCATTCGTTCCATGAGCACTGGGTGAAACGCGATGAACATCTATCCGTAAGGCCGTAGCGTAATGTTCGAGCCGAATACGTGAAGTGAATCGTCAAGTGTCTCTGCAACTTGTGTCGAAATTGAGCATCTCCCGACGTTCTGCTTTCTATTGGGGTGCCTGTGTTTACGTTTCCGCGTATTTTTTTCTTCCGAGGTAAAATAACAATCTGCTTTGTTTCGTACGTCACATAAGGAACCTCTCTAAGCCACACGCAGCTAAAGGTCTTCCCTATTCGCTGCAGATGTTCGCCTTAGCGGTTACAGCGGCGTCGATGGAAAGAAACGAAAACATAAAAAAGTTGACGCAGATGGGGCTTGAATCGCAGAGGCTGACGCTTGCAACGTTACAGCTGCCAGTTGATGCATTTGTGATCTGCAGCCAGCAAACAGCTATTTTACGTCTCGTCGCATGTTGCTCATGCTTCACAGAGCTCGAAAGAGATTGCCGGCTTTGTTCTACCACATGCCTACAATGTGGAAACAATCTAATCTGAACATCTGTCAAAAGCCTATTTGTTGAATACGTACTCATTAAATGAACTTGTTCTTGTTCTAGAAGTAAAATTATTCTGTTAAAGGAATGTTGCCAGCTTTCATTTATGCAACACATGGTACACAGCCGTTCGCTGCTTTGTCTTTTGGGGGTCTGTGCTGTACCCTTTCATTTTCATCAGTCGCTTTTCTGGATCTCGTACACCTACGCCTTCATCACACCATGCTAGCCACGTTGTTGCATGTATAATTAGCATAACCGTCGCGTAGACCTACAAGTCTTAACAACCTCAGTATCAAAGGTTTCTCAGTTGAAGGAATTCTTTAAACCATTTGACTGGCCACAGAGCATTCACAATTCTCAATGTCTTTTGAGATACTCTATAACGTGCTGTCATAGCTTGGAAACTAGGGCTCCTGCAAGCGTCCTCGATTCTACGCTCTGCATTTAAACTGGAGGAAATTGTGACCGACTACCGTTAACTTAGATTTCAGCGCACATCAAAGAACGCCAAGTGGTCAGAATTAACTAAGAGTTGCCCACTACAGCATGCCTCAGTATTGTGTGAAGGTTTTGGTGCATTGAACCTGGGAATTTATTTTGCCATCATTTCAATTACCTTACTAGCTTTCCCGCAAGCACTTCACATTGGTGAGTAGGGTAATGTCTGCAGTGCTAGTTAATTTGGCTGTATTTAGGTGAACATGTAACAGTTCCCCGTGCGAAATTTGTTTTCTTCACCGCTGAGTGCTTGAGCTACGACACGCTGCCCTATATCAGACTCTCGACAAAGGTGGAGCCTTGACCAAGATTGTCTCAGTTGGGGCATTTTTGTGTGTGATGCGGCGTGTCGAACAAAGTGCACCATTGGAATGTTAACTGAAGTCATTGAATTGTTATTCAAATCAGTCCTCATGGTCAAAAGATTACTAAAATGTTCGGGCAGCTGTTTGGGTCGGTTCAAACATTTAGTTTCCTATGTTTAGTTAGTGGGAACTCTGTTGCTGTGATGGTTCAGCCTCCATGGGAATGATGGGTAGGTAGGACATGGACTTGCTGATTCTTTGTGCTTGGGGCTTCGAATGCACTTTTGGCTTTGATTGTTGTGCCTTGGCTTTGTTTCAGATGAAACAATGAGTCATTGTGAACCGTGTGAGCCAGTTTGAACTGGTGAGCCTAAAGAGGAATTGGGACTACTGAACTTTTGCTGAACTTTGTCTTGCGACATACGAGCTGCAGGCCACACGCAACCAGGAAAAAAAAAGAACGAAGCTGAGGCAAATTTGTGTACCACCTGTCATTCCTATTCTGGCTGAAACTCTATGCGTTCCAGCTTTGACAAACACTAGCACCACGGTTCCCTCTCATAAACCCCGTAGGAACTTGTTTTGAACACCACACGTGCAAAGGCTTTCAGCCAAGGGATACAAGGAATTTGAAAGGAACGCATTTGTGCTGTCTTGTCCTGGATGTATGACTTGCTGTTATTCATACAATGTTAAACGAGCATACTCTGAGAAGTATAGCCATCTCTCCCATTCGTAAACAGAATGAACTATGCATGCTCTATATTGTGAATGAGGGTCTCATATGGCCCCCTAACATCAAGTTTTAGTTTATTTCATCATACTTTTGGTGAGTGGTAATTTATTTCACCATGTTCTTTTCTCATCAGATGGACTGCCATTGAACACAATTATTGGTTCTAATTACTTCTGAAGGCCCAGAGCATCACAAAATTTAAATATGAAGTTAATGATAGGCCTTTTAATTCAACTAGTGACTTGGGTATTGCCTTGGCTTCGTGTGTGGGTTCTGCCATTACAAGAATCAAAAGCATCGTCAACGTTTATGATTGTAAAAATATGCACATTGTTCCATTGTTCATTTGTATAACACTATGTTCTGTATGTGTTGATAGTATATAATGTCTTTGTATTTGTTGGTGCATGCTCCAAGTTAGTACATTCAAGTATTAGGGAGTTTCGTTAAGAGAAGCACATTGGCTTTTTGTCCTTATAACCCAGACTTCCTTATCTGAAATGAAGAGCTGAATGAATGCATGAATGAACAAACAATACTTGCCCTGGGGAACAAGACGAAGCCAATGGACAAAGATTCATTAGGTTGTGCTTCACAAAGAAGCACACTTGTGATTCATTTCATACGGCCCCTTTGTTTGTTCCTGAGAGAAGTAATGTGATAAGGCGTGCTGGGTGAACACAGAACACTTTTGCAGTACGTTGACTCACTAGAATGGCATGAACAAATTTGTATCAGTTCGCTGCACAAGCGTCAGTCAAGGCAGGAGCGCTTCATGATTGCTACTCTTATAAAGACTAAAGGATTTTTCTGATGCCTCGCGCAGACGTCCGGGTTCGGCGAGCCAAGCGTCTACCATGCGGTAGTGGTCATCTTCCTCGAGTTCTTTGCCTGGGGCCTGCTGACGACGCCCATGATCACGGTGAGCGGCGTTTGCAAAACCACGATCCAGTTTGGCAACCTGATTAGTCCAGCACTTCTGCAGTGTAGGATTGACAGAGGAAATTCCATGGGTGCTTAAAAATAAGAACAGAAAAATGCATAAAAAAATAAAGAAAAAAATATGCTTCTGCATGTATTAATATTTAAAGACGCAACATTTAGCCAGAGCTGCAACAAGATTTTTTTACTGATGGGGGGGGGGGGGGTGTTGTCAGGAGGTGGGAAGCTTGTGCATTGTGTTTTGATTATGTTAGCTCATTGATGGCAATTGGGGGCAAGCAAGAAAAAAAAGGGGGGAGGGGTGACTTTTTGGGGGGGCCCTCGCCCCCCCTTCCCCCGCCTTTCTTTCTGTGCTCACAGCTGGCAGTGTCTCTGCATGTACGCATATCATGGCCACCTTAAAGCTCGCGAACCAGTGCACAGATGGGTGTGGATAGTGAAAAATCTACGGGAAAGCCAGCAGCACTACGGTGTAGAAGTGTGGTGATGTAGCAAAGCTTTGATTTGAGCTATTTGTTTTAATCTTATAGAAACATATATTCTAAAATCGCGAGCAAGACATCTTCCTGTCTCCTTCTCCTGGGATGGAAGATTATCGGGCAAGATGGCGAGGAGGGGTCCCTGTGAGGTTATGGACCAAAATTTTAAATGGCGGCAGAGAGCCTGCTATGAAGTGCTTCGAATGGAACACTTTGTTGAATACGCATGCATTTACCGTTTTTACTGAGCCAAAGCGAACCCTTGTGTGAAATTTCACGTGTTATGGCAAGGGAAACATTCTTAGACTGCTCTGACAATTTGTGACAGAAGGGTGTCTTGAAGTTGGTACATGATACCGAGGAGAAACGGCGCAGTAACGAGATGAAGAAGGGCTCGTGTTGTGTGATCATTCTTCCTTCGTCCCGTTTTTGCGCCGTTTCCGCTTGGAATTTGTGGCAACTCAGAATGCAACCCCTAGGCACCATTCTGTAAATATTCTGAGCAATCATGCACATATCTAAAGACCAGAACTTTGCTTCCTGGGAACCACAGCTGCTAGATTTTGTAGCAGAAATCAGGTTGAAAAAAAATGGCAAATGAGAGGTTGCAGGGCTTTCTCATTCAGTGGCGCATATTTTAAATATCTGGAAAAGGGGGGGGGGGGGGGCACTTGCCCCGCCGCGGTGGTCTAGTGGCTAAGGCACTCGGCTGCTGACCCGCAGGTCGCGGGTTCGTTTCCCGGCTGCGGCGGCTGCATTTCCGATGGAGCGGAAATGTTGTAGGCCCGTGTGCTCAGATTTGGGCGCACGTTAAAGAACCCCAGGTGGTCAAAATTTCCGGAGCCCTCCACTACGGCGTCTCTCATAATCATATGGTGGTTTTGGGACGTTAAACCCCACAAATCAATCAAATCAATCGGGGGGGGGGGGGCACTTGCTTGGTATTTTACGGTAGATGTGAAACAGGCAAGGGTGAAAAAAAAAAAAACACTGCAGACTGGACGGGCACCAACTACCAACTCTGCGATAGTCGATACCAGAGTTGGTAGTTGGCGTCCGCCCTGTCTACAGCGCTTTTCTTCATCCTCATCTGCCTCGTGCTCATATATATGTTTGCATATGCCATAATGTAACACTTTATTAACGGCTCTAAAAAATAGATTTGGGAATTATGTCTGCTAGTCGTGAGAACGTTTACCCCACCACCGGGGCTTGAATTGAGCAGATAACTGTCATGACATTACACTGAACTACCGGGGCCACGTTTCCGATACGAAATTCAAGACAGGAAGTTGGGCCTTGATTTCGTGCTTTCTTTAGCCGGCTGTTAACGCTGCTGTGTTGGTAATGGGGATTTGAAAGTCTCTCTATATAGAGTGATTTTTGCAGTTGGAGCAGGAGTCCTAAAGGGAACATGTCACAAATTAATTAGCAAACATTTTTGATAAGCTATTAGGAAGTTTGAATTTCTCATGCAAGTAACGTTTAGCTTCCTAGGTAATAACAGGTTGGATTGAGAGAGATGCTTCACTGAAAAAGTCAATTGTGGCCAGCATGAGTCTTTTTAATTAGTCAAGTGAATGTTGCAGTTCATTGTGAAAGGAATACTAATCTGAATGGGTGGAATCTTGCAATAGGCTCTGTGTAATAATTTTAGTGCGTTTAGTTTTAATTTTACTTTTTTTATTTTGGCACATAGACATTTTAATTCCTTGTGCAGTGTAACGAGTGTACTATCAATAATGTTATTCATTGTTATTAATATTAACAATATTAGGTGCACTTAGTAGTTGAAATAGTGGGTAGCTGGGCTCTCCGGGCAACGCAGCCGAACCGGTTAAACCTTTCAATATGCTGCCGTGGGATTTTGAAGAGTGTCGGCTGAAGCAAAAGAAAACTTTGTATACTGGGAAACGTAGTCCATGGCAAGATTATTTCAATTTGTGTTGGCCAAAAAAATGGTTTGTTAACATAATGGGAAAGCCAAAAATTACTTACAACATCAGTCCTAAACTAGAGCCACCCGTCTGTTGGCGTGGGTGTCACAGGCTTCAGTATATGTACTGATTATCATTTATTATTTGGCCCTTGCTGAAGAAAATATTTTTATTTTTTCAGTACATTATAACTTGTTTTTTTGGCACTGCAGAAATACCATGATATTGTTTTTTTTCTTGTGTTAGGTGGATAGGCAGTTAATTTCTATAACTGATGTTTTCTTTCTCCAAAGATGTTAATTGATTGGCTTATACTCTTAAGTCTACGAAGTGCCGTGAAAAGGTGTTCATAACACAAGGTAATCATCAGAAACCTTATATGTAAAAGAAAAAAGTTTTTAGCAGGGCAATCTGTTGGCTGACATAAAATCTCTTTAAAGGGTCCCTGAAAGCTACGAGTACTAAAAAAGTACCCTCCTCCTCCACTCTGCCTTTCACCCCCAACTGTCCTCAACTCTTCCTTCGAGCGCTCGGGATTAAGCTTCGCCTTCACGGCGCCTGCGGCACGATGTGGTGTGAGACCGCATACGCGTGAATCCCACCGCCGATCCGATACCGGCAGTCTGTGCTGCACCTTCCACAGCCATTCAGATCAGCTGGAAACGATGACGTCTGTGGGGTAGAGAGTGTTTCTTGGTGTATGGGCAATTGAAAACGCGTTTAGCCATGTTGCAGCCATCTGCAGCGATCCGGAGCGATTCGCAGCTTTGAAGCGTTGTAATCAATTACACAGTTTATGTGGAAAGCTCAGATCGGCCTTTAGATTACCCTTGGGACTTGGTCTACCAGCCCAATGTATTTGTAAAAAGTCATCAAAACCCTTTCAGGGTTCCTTTAATACAATTTTCATTACCAAATTGGACATTATGATCGTGTAAAACCCATTTTGATTTTTTTTTTAATTCTCATGGTTGGACACTAAAAGGCAGCACCTTCACGCACGGGGAGATAGCTTCCGTCTCCACTGGTTCCCTGTCGCAAAAACTGTTTTTATCGGCTAAAACGTAGAGGTGAAGCTGTAAAACACCAATACAGGCTATTCAGGAAAGAGAATTTTTCATCCATTTTACGATAGTTGGCTGATTGGCTTCTAAGAGAAAGTAATCTTGACTGAAATCACTTTTTTTTTAATATCATGCCAAAACTTCAGTGGGTTTCAACAGGTTTTTTTTCCTATTTGAGCCATGGTGGCTCATTAAAGTTCTCTTCACCTGCATTGTACTTTTTATACCTGCTTTAGGATGTGGTGTAATCTTTTTTGACTGGTGAACGATAAATTAAGCTCTAGCCAACCCTAACAAAATGTGAGGGTATGGAAAGATGGTGTAGAAAATTTAACATGGCGCTATCACATTTTCTTTCATTTCTGTGCCTTTCCTGGCCAACTGAGCCTGATCGTGTGTTTTTATATACTAAAAAAAACATGTACAAAGTGTTTTTTTGGTACGAAGCACCTTAAGGCTGCACAATGTTTTTCCGTCCATAAACTGCTGCTTGGTGTCTAGAGCAAATGAAGAAACTGAAGCATTTGTAAAGAACAAAAAATGTTAAAGAAAGGCTGTTATTAGACATCGACATTTAACCACCCATCAGTCAGATCATAAGACAGAACAAAAGGTTAACAAGAACAAAACAAAATACCCTTAGCCAGAACAAAATAGAAGGCCACGATTCATGATTTGATGCATGCGGCTTTGCCCCATCATCAGAATTCACTTTGTGGATATGCGGGTATTTTTTTTTTGTGATGACTTTCTGCCATGATATTACTCGGAAACAAACATTTTTCATTTTTTGAACACCTCAAAATCTAAGGTTATTCCTGTTTGATAATAATCATCTTTTTTTACAGGTCCTAAACGAAACATTCCCAAATCACACCTTCCTTATGAATGGCCTCATTATGGGAATCAAGGTGAGTTCTCTCTCACGGACCACCTTTCTGTCACAACTGTAAAATTTTATTGTGCCTTTTGGGATAAGGCGGTCGGACTTATCTGGGCACTGTCCATATTTCATCATTGCAGTGGCTGAGACCCAGAGTCATTTTCTGTTTTTATCTGTCAGTAAGGGGAAATGCTGTTTCCCCGTGTGATGTTGCAAGCTCAATTTCTGGCCACCCTTTTGCGTTACAGGTGATGAATCATAGCGCCCTCTATTAAATGAAACAGCGACGATTCATACGATGTCATTCACCCTGCTGGGGTTATGTTGTTTAGATTGCGCTAAAAGCATGCAAGCACTTGAATGCGTTCTTATCTGGCGAAGCTCCTGAAGGTGTGGGTCTGTCCATCACTTGTATGTATGTATGTATGAATGTATGTATGTCTGTATGTATGTATTTATGTATGTATGCATGTATGTATTCATGCATGCATGTATGTGTGTGTATGTATGCTTGTATGTATGTATGTACAAAACCGCCTGAATACAGTTCCACCTTTGCCAATCGCCCACTGCATCGTCCTTGCAAACATCCCACTACGCCCCATCATCGAAGCAAATACTGTTAAGAAGTAGTCAATATGAAATGCAAGATGATCGTGTCCTGGTATCCAAGTGCACGTTAAAGAACCATAGATTGTCGCACTGTGTCCATTCCTTGTTTGTATGTGATCGCCTATAGTTTTACCTTTGCAAACTGCCCACTACTTCGTCCTTCCAAGCTACCACTTAAGAATAATAAAATTTGTTGTATAAATATATACACTGTTTGTCAAGTCTTTGATGATGCAGTGAGTGATAGTCGTGAATGGTTCACGGTTCAGTGATGAAACCCTCCAGCGCTTTGCCCCACTTATCATCATTCACTTCGTGGATATGCTGTGATTTCTTTTTTTGTGCATAAAACCGGTGCTGCAAGGCTTTTTGAAAGCTATTTTAACAATGCAATTGGTTAAGATGTGGGTTTGTTATCCTTTTAGCGAATGCATAGCACAGAGTGAAGACAGATGTAGGGGTGTCTTAAACACTACGTTTGCAAAGGTCCAAGGTCATGGACTGTAGTGAGGCACAGCGCTGTGTCGGCAAAATGGCGAGCTAGACATAGCTGCGCATGCCCTCAAGAGCATTATTCCATTTTCTATCGTCTACTTTGCCCACTTGTCTCATCTGGCCGAAATACTTCATTGTAAACTGATTCAGCCATTATTTAAGCTGCACTCGAAGTGGCAGAGGCAACACAAAGGGGACGAGGAAAGTGATAAGACCCAAGACATGCTCGTTATCATTAAGTTTAACTTGGAGTGTTTTAATGAGTTGTTTTTGACATGAACAACTTACTATTTTCTGTTTTTTGTTGTGTGATTAGGCGAGTTTACTCTCCTGTATACAGAATTCTCCTGTATACAGACCAAGTGTGGCACTCTGAGCAAGTGTGACGGTCAGCAAATGCTGATAGGATATTTTATGTTGATGCTAAAGTCAATTTTCTCGTGGCACACGTAACGACATCGATACTAACTTGACGTCGGGTTACAGTACTAATCCCGGTGGCTTCACGCAGCAGTCCGGCTAGTTGGGATGACGTCAAGCACCAGAACACAAAAAATGGCAGTTTGCGCGTCACCTTGATCATTCGTCTGCTCGTGCCATGCAGTCGTGCGGTCACTGTCATCCAGCGTACCTGCGAAGCGAGTGAGCGGAGTCTCGAACATTGTATGTGCACATACACTTTTCACGTACACGTACGCCAGGTGGTGCTGCTCATACCATGTCGTAACGTCAGGGTACAAGAGGAACAAAAAATAGATTTTAAGAGCATGCTGTAATGAATTTTTCAGAATGCACTCCTGCTTACCAGTACATTTTCTATGCGCTCGGGGACTTGGCCTATCATTTGATGCGAAAATAACAAAAAAAGTGCTAGAACATGTGAACAACTGTTCTCTAGGGTTATACATTATTGGTGGCTGCCACCGCACACCACAGTAGTGCCATCTAGCGTCTTAAATATGAACTAAAAGACACTATTGTTTGCATGAAGGTAAGCTGGCTCAGTGTCACCATGGTTGCTTTTGTGCCACAAAAAAACTTGTTTAACTGACTAACATGGTGAAAATTCTGCCTGAGCACCACTTTTCTTCATTCATTTTTATCATTGCTGGGGAGAACAATAAAGCTCATTAGGCTCATTAATCATATGATAAAACAAAACTTTAGTGCATGCTCATCAATAAAAAGAAATGGCGTTATAACTTCAGCCACTGATTTACTTTACGAACTGTATGTTGTGTGTTCACTTGACCAAGCTAGAAGGGAGTGTTTCGATGGGGTTTGTTGACTACACACAAACTTTGTTACAACGAAGTTAAGTTGGGTTTTAGACGAGAATAAGTTTGTTAAAACCAAAATTTCGTTATAAAGGTATATTCCTAGCACTATGTCTATTGCAAGAGTACTCTTCATTAACTTCATTACAATATTTCGTTATATCCAGCTTCATTATATTGAGGTCTGAGTGTATCTGAATCTGCATGCAGACTAAATTAAACCGTGCTATATTAGCAACACGTTGCCTGTGTGCAGACCTTGTTGCGTTTTGCTATTTGTGCGTGTTAGTGGCTAAGGAAGATCCAGATACATTGAGGTTTGAATGAATTTAACCTCCCAGGCAGTAAAGGTATCTTCGTTAAAATTAATTTCGAATTGTACTACTACATGTGATCATTTTGCTGATGGCATTAACATGTTTGGCGAGTGGTTAAATGGGCACCGCTTTCCACAAGCTACCTCAAAGGTATAGTTTTTCTTTGGTTAAGGGGAGATGCGGGTCGAAAAACGCGAGTTTTTTTCAAAAATACCGATTTTTTATTTTCGCCTGTTTTGATAAGATTGCCTCTACTGATAAGCCTCTACTGTTATGAAAAAAATAATACAGGTCGAGACTTGACTGAAAATGCTTTAAAATTGCATTTGAAGAGCCCAAGATGCCTGTTAAAAGATCGAAAGTGTGCAGTCTTCGACCACCTTGCCGTCGATAATGCGCCGTCGCTCGCCATTGTTGATCGTATGAGTTGAAGAGTCGAGTCTCACTCTTCAAATAACAACAGTTTCTCTCGCTGATGCAGCGCAGAAAATAATAAAAAGAAGCACTCTTCTGCGCATTTTTCGAGCGCCGCGACTGGCTTATCACATGGTACGAATCGGGGACTGCCATTGGCCGCTGCGCGCCTGTATGTGCTCTGACACCTATTTGCGGTGTCCATGTCTTGTCGAGCAGCACAGCTGAACAATGCTTTTCTCGTGTAATTGTCTCTCTTATGAATTAAAAAAGGCGTTGCTCGCAAGTGAAAGCTGTTGTGCAGTGCGCTCTGTAGGAATAGGCTACGAGCAGCTGGTCCAATTTGCGGCAGTTGTTGGCTTCCAAAAGCCGATGCATCAAAAGTCATTCACACCCGTCAGCTGGAAAGTTCTTGATGCGGCAATGGACGACGTCAGCGCCAATCTTGAGAGGTCGAAAAAGCTCTCAGTGAGAGAACTTAGCAGGGACGACATTGCTATTATGTACGACGGTATGTGTCACAAACATGGCTGCGAAATGGCATGACACTGGACTTAGTTTGGATTTTGCAGCCCTGTCAAACTTCTTCTTAGCTTGCAGTTGGCACAAGTCCAGATGGAGCGGAAGTTTGGCAAGCGTTTCTTGGCCCTGTCTGTGAGCGAATTGTCTGTGAGGAGTCGGTTCGAAAAAGCCGAGAGGGATAAACTCATGGTGCTGGCGTATTTTAGTGGCAGTGGCCACTACAATACAGATTTTTCTTTTTGATGTGTAAATTTCATCTGATTTAATGATATCTTTCATAAATACAAACTCAATTTTAACCTTAAAACTCGGTTTCCTCAACACACAAATTTTGCCATTTTTTCCAAAGTTCCCCTCCTTTTTGGAGCACTTCTAGTGCTCGGATCTGCATGAAATTTTGCCCAAACTTTTTCCAAAGTATGGCGAATGCAATTATCTAGTTTAAATTTCTATATTTTATTATATAATAAAGAAATTCAATATAAACCTTTACAAGGGTAGGAGAAATATGAACTTCTTATGTCTATTATTTTTCACGCATACTACGTATTTTGTATGTGCTTCCTGATTAATTATTTGCACTCTACACTTTATTTGAAGCATTATGAACTATGAATGGTAAAAACTTACAGAAGTTTAGGAATGTAAAGAGGCGGGGCAAAAGGGTTAAGGTTTTCAATTTGTGATGTTGCAGAGCAAAAAGTGTGTAACTTGCAAAAAAACTAATTATACATTTGAAATCAGCATAAAAAGTTCTATAAACAGCTCAAGTTTCATTGCTCTAGTGTGAATATTAAAAAAAATGTGTCTTCGAGTAGCATCTCCCCTTAACCCATATATGCCTAGTGTCCTACATGTAGGACGCTGAAAATTTTCATTGTAAATTGAATGTTTTTTTTTTTTGTAAGAAAGCTAGCGCTAATTGTCGTGTGTTGATGATGCTGTGCCCTTATAACGCGCTAGTGTAGGCGATCGCCGGGCTACCAGTCGGCTCGTGAGCGCAGTCTTAAAATTGTTGTTTCACGTGCCTGATACAGATTCAAAATGTTCGCGATGCTGACAATATTTTTCTGGATTGATTGTCAATTATTGGGTCTGCGGTAAAATTTGTATAACCCTGATGTGCGGTAAAGTTTATTGTTTGCGGTCTCTCAAACATTGGTGTCCTACCTATAGGACGCTAGGCACATGGGGTGTCACGCTGTGTCAACTGACAACCGTGAAGCTTGTCGTAACGCAATTACATGCATATGGATGTATAGTACGTTCATGTCATTACATTATTTGCTCTCAGCCGATTCCCTGCAGTTCATTTCACTAAAAAAATATTTGCAGATGCCAACGACATCTGGAGCATATGGACGTTGGCAATATTGTGCCTTCACTTGTCGGCATTCTGCCGCCCGACAATCATGCTGGTGCAGTTACAGGTCAATAAAGCGGTGATCAAGAAGGCACGCAGAAATAAATGAAAAAGAAGTCTCGAGGCTTTTATAATTACTGATTCGACACTGAATAAAAAATCTTGTATGCTGTTGGAAGGACAATAGCACGGTTAACATGATCTAAAATGGTCATGGACTTGAACCGCAGCAAATGGTGAAAAGATACTCAAGATAAAAGCCATCTAAGGACATAGTGGAGCAGCCTTTTTGTTTTTCAAATACAATGCAAACATGGGCGAGGTTGACCGACCGAGTCAAAATATTGCAAAGTACCACACTGCCACGAGAAGTATGAAGTGGTAGTCATCACTGCCAACGTATCTCCTTGATGCATGTGGGAACAATGCATTCCAGTTGTACGGAAAGGGAACAGACAATGCGGACCTGAGAATTCTTTGAAGGGCAGTTACAATGTAGTAAATAAAGAGATATGGCTACAAGCCATTGTGTGGAAGAAGCCTGCCAGTCTTGGCAGGAGGCGCAAAGCTGATTTGAATGCACTGACTACTTAGTCATCCTCCGAGAAAGGCAAACAACGTGTGCTCATAGCCATGGGAAGACCACCATCTGTTGTAAAAAATGTGACATTACAATGCATGCAAAATCTTTCAAATTATACCATTCATTTAAGGAAGTAGTGTGGCACGCGGAACGCGTTCCAAATTGACACATTGTGACACTTATGTGCCTAGCGTCCTATATGTAGGACCGTGCCAAAAGCGTTGTCAGAAAAAGTTTTCTTGCGAATGAAAGTTTTATTTTATTTTCTGAGAGCTTAGAAGCTATTATTCTGAGAAAAGAAAATCGTTTTGTTAATATCGTTAAGTTCAGGCATATATGGGTTAAAATTAACATCAGAAAAAATGAAATTTCACTAAACTTCTACCCTGAGATTTGATTCTGTTTATGTGAAAACAGAACATAGACTTCAGGATGCAGTTATACCTAATTACAAATAATTAAGATTACTTAGTGTAAAATATAAACCCAATGATGATATAATTACCCCTGGTGTATTTAACACTAATTAATGTAAGAATTGTGTTAAGATGTAATTATGGTATAAAGAAGATTAGTTACCTTAACCATAAGTTATTATGTCATTTTGTTGCTATATAATATTGAGTTCCTTGATGCGTTATGTGTAAACCTGGCACATTCACCAACAGTTCTTCATAGGTCACCTGCCATAGGGTTAACTAGCCTTGTGCCACCACTCTCGCCCATGCTCTCAGGGCTTCCTCTCCTTCCTGAGCGCTCCCCTGGTGGGGGCCCTGTCAGACGTCTGGGGCCGCAAGTTCTTCCTGCTGGTCACCGTGTTCTTCACGTGCGCCCCAATCCCGCTGATGCGCATCAACACCTGGTGGTATTTCGCCATGATCTCCATGTCGGGCGTGTTTGCGGTCACCTTCTCGGTGGTGTTTGCCTACGTGGCCGACGTGACGGACGAGCAGGACCGCAGCGCGGCGTACGGTCTCGTCTCGGCCACCTTTGCAGCCAGCCTTGTGACGAGTCCCGCGCTGGGCGCCTACCTGGCTCGACAGTACTCGGATGCCCTCGTGGCCGCCCTGGCATCGGCCATCGCTCTCTTGGACGTGCTCTTCATACTGGTTGCGGTGCCCGAGAGTCTGCCCGAGAAGCTCAGGCCTGTGGGCTCGTGGAGTTCGCCGATCTCTTGGGAACAGGCCGACCCTTTCTCGGTGGGTGTAGTGCTCTTTGCACCGATCCGCTTTGAATGCGCTGGCGGATCTGTTTGTACTGCTTATTGTGGTTCCTCGCATGGGCAGTTGCTTTACTTACAGTAGAATTTGTTCAACGGAACCTTCAAAAACCAATGAAGTGCATTTTGACAAAGATGTGTAGAGTGACCGGTTGTGATTAGCAACCACGAGGTGTCTTATGGCAATCGATGTTCACACTGACAAGCATGGTCCAGACACCTCCGCACAAAGTGCCTCACATTCAGTGAGGTTCGCGTCTTCTTACACCACCACCGTCTTGCTAAATCGAAGCTGACATCCCGCTTTTCTGCATCTGATGGGTTCACAAGGCTTGTCGTTGCTGTTGCACGACTGTAAAATCATGCACCAAGCAGCCATCTAAACTAGTCACCTTGCGACAAAAGCGACCACTTTTGACGAATTACGATGCCCAACCATTACGAATCGCCAGTGTGAACGATCATTTAGGGTCTGCCGCGTGTGGTCTAATGGCTGGGGTACTTGGCTACTGACCCGCAGGTCGCGGGATCGAATCCCAACTGCGGCGGCTGCATTTTTGATGGAGGTGAAAATGCTGTAGGCCCGTGCGCTCAGATTTTGGTGCACGTTAGAAAACCCCATGTGATCGAAATTTATAAAGCCCTTCTCTGCAGTGTCTTTCATAATCATATGGTGGTTTTGGGATGTTAAACCCCACATATCAATCAATCAATCAATGACCATTTAGTGCTTGAAAAATGTGAGCGCCCATTCATTACGTCTTGATGCAGGCACTGCGCAAGGTGGGCAAGGACCCGATGATCCTTATGCTGTGCGTCACCGTCTTCCTGTCGTACCTGCCCGAGGCTGGCCAGTACTCCTGTTTCTTTGTCTACCTGCGCCTGGTCAGTCCTTTAATTACCATTAATTTGTGAATAACAGCTGTGCATATGTAGTATGTGGTGCACTTTTGGAAGCTATTGCAGTCATTTTCTGCTAATTAGGCCTAATATGGCTGTGCAAAGGCAACAGAGAGGCCTATATTTTCACTGTTTTTTTGCATTTTAACGTTAAAAACAGGGCTAGTTATTGGTCTGATGTAGCAATTAGAAACTTGCGTGCTACTGCATAAAAATGATGGCCAGATGATGCACAGCTGTCATTGAAATCAACCGGCGACAAGGAATGGTATGAAAGTTGTGTGAATAAATTTAATGGAGCAATTAATGCAGTAAAATAATTTAGGTGAAACAGTGAAAATGAGAGAAGTTCAAGTGCACTTAAGTCGGCTTACATGCACTGAATTTAACAGCTGGGGGGGTCTGAATGTGAAAAATATATACTGTATTTACTCGCATAATGAACCCACCCCCCACCTTGGTCCTTGGAAAAAAACGAAATCAGCCTTTTCTTGTGCCTGTTCATTTTCTTTCGATGAGAAAGCAAGTGCTGTGGACGATCGAAACAATGTTAAATCACACCATTATATCACGAAATAACGACTCAGTAAAAGTAAGAACATAGTTTAGCAACCATGCTAAACAGTTGCGAGCAGCACGAGCGCACACGAGGCCGATTAAAATTTTAAAGTCTTGCCATTTGTGGCAGAGCGCCATCCGTCAAATGTTGAAAAACCTGTTTGCTTATGGCGCTACGCAAGCACAACAGCATGAAAACAAATTAAAAAAAAAAGTGCTACTGCGCGGTTCACCCGCAAGGCCATAACATGCATGCGCCGCCATCTGACGCTGCATTTTTGATGTTGGGTTTATGGTAGTGAACGTCGTGCGCAGGGCACAATCAACCGTTTTTGAACTTGAAGTTGGTCGAGAATGTGCCAGAGCATAGAACCAAGCGGCTGAATGACACTCTGTATGTGTTCATTACGGGAGAAAACAGCTTCGGGCCACAAAAAAAAAAAAAAAACAATTATTGCGCATTTTGCAGGCCAAAACACAGTTTTTCTTGTGCAGAGCGAAGTTCTCGAATAGGGTCTCTGTATTAATTGGACAGCGATTTTCTTAATACCGTCATGCGATATTTTTGCTGTCATAACTCCCGTGACTTTTTTTTTCTCCTGCCTAATGAACCCTCCTCCCAAATTGGCATCAACATTTTTGAAAAGAAGGTGGGTTCATTGCACGAGTAAATGCATATGTCTGTAGCTGTTGGGGCATCCACATCACATTACATTGGGATGATGGCATGTAATGATGTCACGTCGTACTGGCTTCTGAACAAAAAAACCGTAAGGCAAAACGCCAGAAGGACAGACTGATATTCAGGACTGGTGCTAACTTCCAACTGCAGTTTCTTCAATAAACGATGGATAGAAGTTACAGCAGAAGTTGCAGCAATGACAATGGATAGAAGTTACAGTTTATAGCACTCATCTTTTGTACCTGTCTGTCCGTGTGTCGTTTAGCCATACGATTTTTCCTAGAAGTCATAAAACCAACCAGCCTAAGAAAACATTTTGGCTAGTCACAATGTCACATGACAACTTGACCACTTCGCTTTTCTTGCCATCAGGTGGTGCCTGTCCTTTCTTCCTGCTTACAATTGGTGTCCCCTTTCCTTATTAACAGCTGATGGGATTTTCGGCCGAGGAAGTTGCCCTGTTCATCGCCGTCGTCGGCCTCCTCTCCGTCATTGCGCAGGTGGGTTTCTACTGCCAGGTCTCTCGACTAGCTTCCTCTTCAAAATGGCTGGCTGGTTGTTTCAGATTAGCACGACATTCTAGTTAATGATTCATCTAACTGTTCTGTAATGTCATAAGATCTTAAGAGTTCAACTGCCTTCAATGCACCGAGAATTTTTCAGTGTTTTGGAGTATCAGGATGTTTGGTGTCCTGCCCAGGTTTAAAAAAACTGCTAGTTCGAAGGGCCTCTAAATCTTTCGTAGTTTGAAGATGGAAGAAGGTTCTCTTTGTGGCCTTCACGCTGCTTGCTGAAGGTGCTACCTTCTCGCCATTTATTTCTTCATGAAAGACATGGACAATGCTCTAAATGTGATGCCTGTGAGGACTCCCCCTCTTCCTTTTCATGCTAAAATAAAATAGAACCTACTTAAATAAGATGCAGAATTTATTAGCAGAGAAATGTGGATTTCACCTTTTGTGTTTTTCTGCTTTTACAACAATATAAACGGGATCTACTGCCAAGTTCTTTCCAAATAATGTTAGCTTTGATGTTAACTTGGTCACTTCAACTGAGCTGTGGGAGCTTCCTTTTATGTGTTGCAGGCTAAGAAGTAATCAACGTTAAAAGTCTCCTCCCCCCTTCCCCCCTATAGATTAGTGAAAGGACCGTGACATGGCACCCCGACCCTATGGTAGTGGGTTTTTGGTGCCGAGAAATCAGTGTGGCCGCTCCTGATGTTTTCGTGACGTTCTTCCCGCATGCGCAGACTATGGTGCTGACGCTGCTGATGAAGACGGTGGGCAGCAAGCACACGATCATGGTGGGACTGCTCTTTGAGATGCTGCAGCTGGTGTGGTATGGATTCGGCTCGCAACGCTGGTGAGTGTATCAAACTCTGGGTGTACCCTGATTTGTAGAGTATTTTTCGCAATGTTGTTTAGAGAGCAATTCGTTGGCACCTTTACCTAGAAAGCTTCATGAGCCATTAGTTAGCAACAATGGCTCCACAAAAGAAAAAAAAAAAATTTTCACTCCTTGCATTGACGTGCCAGGGCTGAGGTATCAGGGCAGCCTTAAAAAGTGTAATAATATAGGGGCATATATCCTAATTTTTAATAATCCTGTAGTAAAACTCAACCTTCTACCCACTCCCTCTGTTCCCTCTGCTCCCACTCCCTCTGCTTGTTCGGGGATGGAGGCCAGTACATTTCAAACGTTACAACAACTCGACTTTATATACAGAAACTTATGTACATATTTACAAGACTTCACCGTCGGAACCGTCGCATGCTGCCTTGGCAGAGCAGATAGTGCAGAGCACTCTTTGTTGCGACCAGACCCCCCCCCCCCACGAGGACTCGGAAGCCAGGTTTTAATACCTCGGTTGCCCCTCCCGATTCTCCTCACGGCCAACCAAAGCAATTTAGTCCGTTTATTAGACCGACAACACACTTGTTGCCGTCCCCTCCTCTCGCTCTCTTCTTCCCGCACTCGACTCGGAAAGAGAGAGACGAAAGGACCGGCCTGCACCCAACGTTCTGCGAACTGTGCGAACGCACACAATGGTGGCGCCGTTCGGCTGCGGGCCTCCTGCATTACCGCGAGATGACTACGCTGTCCAGCATGACAGCCGTCCCGCGGACTCTACTCCTGACGGATGGGTGGCTATGCACTGTCCTCCCGTCACTTGCCGGCATTCCGCAGTCCGGGGACCATTTAGCTGGTTGCTAGAAGCAGCGACTGACCGCGATATTCTTGCCAGAAGGGGCGCGCTTACGCCGAGATTATCGTCTCCCGAGAATAGGCTTTTTGGGAAGCGCACCCTTTTGAGACCGAGAAGACTCGCTCCCGTGGCCTGCGACGCCAGACCTTACACGCCTTTTCCAAGATTCGCGCAAGCGCTCAAATGCAGCTGCGCGAATAACAACATAAAGGTACGGCGCCGCACGTCCCCAACCCTGTGGGCATACTTCGCAGTTCCTTGAACGTCAGAGTCGTTTCTGCAACGCGTGCAATACTTTCTCTGCTTAACCCTTGAAGCTCCACCAAACGGACGCCACCACATAGCAAAAAAAAGAAAAAAAAACCGACACGAGGTCACTGTGCACACAAGTACATACTATAAAGCAGGCAAGTAAAACAACAACAAACTTCTACATGCTTACAGTCGTACATATACACAAAAAGAATACTTCACTGAAACGCACACACGCCCTTCGGCACATGGTGCCGTTCAAATTCAACCAAAATACAAATAACTCCTGCATGCTACACACACGCACAAGAGAAACAATACGCTTTACCGAGGCACATAGACTTTCAACGTGTGGTGCTGTTCAATTGTCCACAGGTTCGCGCACGTCACTCTTGAGTGTCCAGCATGCGCCTAGTCCTCTAGTGTCTCGACCCCCGGAGCACCGCTGCCGATTCCCCAGCACTCATTAGGTACCCTCGAAAGCGCATCTGCGTTGCCATGCTCGACGCCCTTCCTGTGCTGCATCACTACATGATACCGCTGAAGCGCCAAGGCCCAACGGGTAAGCTTAGCCCCAGAAAGAGTGCCCTGGGTGAGAAAAGCTAGTGGGTTGTGGTCGGACACCACGGTAACCTGTGCGCCGAAGAGCCAGAAATCAAACCTTTTCAGACCCCAGATGGCTGCAAAGGCCTCTCGCTCAATAGTCGACCAGCGCGTTTGAGTTGGAGAGAACTTGTGGCTCGCAAATGCGATCGGCATCTCGGTACCATCGTCCGCACGTTGCGACAGGCAGACTCCAGCTGTGACCGCGGACGCGTCTGTAAACAGCCAATACGGCCTCTCGGGATCTGGGGTCGATAATGCTGCTGCCTCACACAGTGCGATCTTAAGCCGCTGAAACGCCCTTTCAGCTTCCGCGGACCACGGAATTTGGTTCGGGATTCGCTTCCCCGTTAGCTCTGTCAGGGGCCTCGCTACCTCTGCGTAATCTTTTCCATAGCTTCGGTAGTAGCCACACAGGCCCAGTACGCTGCGTAGTTCTCTTTTAGTCTCCGGCGCCTTTAAACCTTTGATCGCTGCAAGCTTCTCAGGGTCAGGTGCATGCCGTCCCGAGCCTACCACATGTCCCAAATACCGGATCGATGGACGAGCTATCTGGCACTTATCCCTCTTGACCTTCAGCTTAACCCGCTTTAGGGTCGCAAACACCTGCCCAAGGTGTTCCGCGTGCTCTTCGAGCGTTTCGCTAAAAACGGCTATATCATCCAGGTATGCACAGCAGTATCCGCTGTGTGGCCTTAGCAGTTCGTTCATTGCCCTCTGGAATGTCTGAGCAGCGTTTTTAAGCCCGAAGAGCATTATCGTTCAGGCAAACTGTCCGCGATGACACGCAAACGCTGTCAGCAGGCGCGAAGGAGACTCGAGTGGTACCTGCCAATAACCTCTTCGCAGGTCGAGCAGCGTTATGTACTTCGCTTTTCCTACGCTCATTATGAGTTCTTGCTGAAGGGCCATTGGGTTTGCGTCCGCCACCGTCCCCGCGTTTAATGCCCGAAAATCGACACAGAGTCGCATGCTGTTGTCTTTTTTCGGAACGCATACCAGCGGATGGGCGTACAAGCTCTCGCACGGAAAGATCAACCCCAATTCGAGCAGCTCGTCTACCCGCCTCCCCACCTCGGCCTGTAAGCTTTTGGGTACCCTGTACGGATGAGGGATTCTGCGGACAAACCCCTCTTGCAACCTTATCTCGTGTGGCCTTCCTGCCGCTACCGTCGGCCCCCCGCCAAACTGCTCCACATGCCTCTTGAACACTTCGCAGATCACCCTGCGTCCCCGTTCTACTAAATGGGCTACCATATCGCGTGATGGAAAAACTTCTTCACTACGCATTGCCCCTGGCTGTGGGGCGTACTCTACTTCACCGAAATCATCGTCCTCCTCGAACATTACTCCTACCGACATAACCCTGGACTGATATGGGCGCAGCTTATTCGCGTGCACCAGTTTCCGATTACCTGCTGGCATCTGCACGAAGTTTGAATGCTCGCGGTATCTCTCGGTGACACTGCCTGGCCCTTCCCATTTCGGAAACATTTTCTCTGGTTGTTGTGCGTCGTCTCCTACGCCTGACCAACAAAAACTGTACTTGATCCTAGAGCACGTTTTACGGCAACCAAAATGCCCGGCCCAGCTTGACTCGTGCGCCAGTTGCAAAACCCCTCCTCTGCGGCATTCCGGCAGTACCAGCTGCGTTACCGATTGCCCCAACACCTTATCCTTATGATAAAGTAACCCGTCGATTATTAGCATACTGCCTTTTCCTTTCGCCGCACCTCTCCACGCTTCCTGTAAAGTCGGGTCTCCCCGTTGTTTCTCGCGAAATTCGTTTGACGCGGACCTCTCCTTCATGCCGACGCTCGGGGCTTCGTTAGGCAACACGCTGTCATCCCGCTGATCCCCTTCATCGCGGCTTGCTACAGCTACCTCGCTGATCAACACCTCCGTCGCGTGTCGCTCTAAAAATTTTACACGAGTGTCCACCTCGTCCTGACGCCATACGGCCTCGGCGTGCGGAGGCTCGCTTTCGAACTCTGGCCGAGCACCGCCCACTTCTGAGGTACCCTTCACTACCCCTTCGAGGGTGCTCTCCTCGTGTAGTAGTTTCCATGCTTCTTCGGAAAGTAGGCAATCAGTTCGTGCCGTTAGACGGTCCGTTAACGCGCACAACACTGGGACTGGTTCCCTAACGTCGGAAAAAACTCCACGCTCACGCGACATAGTCAGTGGAATAACTGCAAGCTTGGCCTGTACTTTCTCCCCGAACGCCGAAGTCAGGTTGACCATCCCATGCGGTTGCACCAACTCTGGCGGGACCACGCTCTCACGGACTACTGTAATTTCTGCACCTGTGTCCAACACTGCTCCTATATGTTTGTCTTTGCAGTCGAGCGATACTGGGATTAAATCACTGTGTGCGGCTGGGGGACCTTCAATCGAAACACGCGCCGCTAAGCTGTCTTCTTTACTGTTCGGAAGCACTTCCGTCAACTGTTTCTGATGCTGCGGGCAATTCCATTTCTGGTTCCCTGTACTGCCGCAACTGTAGCAGGCCCTGGGCTTTGGTTTCCCCTCCACGATACGGTTTTTTCCAGCCCCACGGCCCTTCATTGTCTCTTCGTCGGATCTAGCCCTGCTCGCGTTTTTCGACTCCGCCACGCTTTGCTTCGCCTGCCTCGCTGCGGTGTTCGTCCCCTGTGCTTCTTCAAACGTTCTCAGCAACGCGGATATCTCTGGGGCGCTCATCCACGCTCTACCTTCTTGGAGTGTCACATATCGCAAGGCCTCCTCCGACAAATTTTTCTTTAATTGGTCGGCCACCAAAAGCTTGACCAGGCCCTCGAATGTCGACACCCCTCTTGCCTCAAGGTAAAAGTGGAGGTAGCTTTCTAAACGTGTCGAAAAAGGTCTCCACCCCTCGTTCGCACGCTTACCTGACCCCAAAAATTTTTTTAGATATTCCCCGGCTGAAAGTCTGAGCTCGTCAAGCACCGTTTGCTTGATTACCTGGTAATCTTTGTGCTCTGTTGGGCTTAGCCGCGTGGACAAAAATGGGACTCTCTCCGCTACCAACGGGAAAACTAACCGTCCCCAAAACTCCTCTGGTACCTCGTACGCTTCTAGGGCACTTTCCACGGACTCAAACCACACCGGTGCTTCAGCCTCGGCTGGAAATTTGGGTAACACCCCTGTGAGGACTTTTGAGTAGCGTCTCAGTTCGCTACACGGATCCCGCCTGCCAAACTCGGGTCCACTCCACCGAGAGCTTCCGCCCATCATCTGCGACAGCCTCTCCATCTCCAACCGCAATTCCTGCAGTCTACGCTCAGGCGTGAGATTTCCG